GTCCTGTCTGATCACCTCTCCCCAATACTTCTTATGTCGTCCTCTACCTCTCCGCGTGCCCACTACAGCCAGTCGCTCACACCTCCTCACCGGTGCATCAGTGCTCCTCCTCTGAATGTGCCCGAACCATCTGAGTCTTACTTCCCGCATCTTGTCCTCCATGGGGGCCACACCCACCTTCTCTCGAATATCTTCATTCCTAATCTTATCCATCCTTGTATGCCCGCACATCCACCTCAACATCCTCATCTCTGCTACTTTCATCTTCTGGATGTGTGAGTTCTTTACCGGCCAACATTCAGTTCCATATAACATGGCAGGCCTAACCACTGCTCTATAAAACTTACCTTTTAGTAACGGTGGCACTTTCTTGTCACACAAGACTCCCGACGCTAACCTCCACTTCATCCACCCCACCCCTATACGGTGTGTGACATCCTCGTCAATCTCCCCGATCCCCTGAATAACCGATCCAAGGTACTTGAAACTACCCCTCTTGGGAATGACTTGAGAGTCAAGCCTCACTTCAACTCCCGCTTCCGTCGGCTCAACTCCAAATTTGCACTCGAGGTATTCCGTCTTCGTCCTGCTCAACTTGAAATCTTTAGACTCAAGAGCATGTCTCCAAATCTCTAGCCTCTCGTTGACGTCGCCTCGAGAGAACAAGAAGCATAAGAATATATGTATATTAACAACAAGAGGATTATTGCAGTTTCCTCTTCTGTCTTTTCATTTTTTTAAGTAAGTGTCACTATATCTTTTTATATAAAAGAATTTTAAATTCTTCTCCGAGTCACTATCCCTTGAAGATCTATTTCTACGTGTTTATACAGTGCTGGTCGTTTTATATTTCAAATTAATTTTTCTTTATTACTTCCAACGAGTATTCATGGAATTGTACAAGTTTTTTTTCCCTGAGATATATCATCATCCATGTTAGAACTGATAACTACAATAGATAAATGGTGATATTCAAATTAAAGTTACTGTGCAAGTATCTAATTTTTTTTAGATAGACTCATCCATGTTAGAACTGGTAACTACATTAGACAAATAGTGATATTTAAAGTTTGAAGTCTATTCTAACTTGAGGTCAAATTATTTCGACAATATTTTCTTACAGATTGTATTTTTATCTTTTTGTTAGTTCTTGGAAGAGTTTTAAAGAAAAAATGATATTAATGTAAAAAAATCATGTAAAAAGGCACAAGCATATTAAGCTTATATGGAAAATTTTCAGGACTATATTGAATACCTTTAAATTATCATCTTTTATTCAAATAGGCTAATTATTCATCAAACTGAGCTTGTAATTTTTTCGTTTTATATTTTTTATTACTCATTGTACACATACTTTAATATATTATCTATATTATTTTAAAAAAATCTGTTCTAATTTATATAGGACACACGTGTACGCACGTGTACAGAGACTAGTCATCTAAAATAATGTATAGATAAATTACTATAGCAACAATAACAACAACAATAACAATAACAAGCCAAGTGTAATCTCACTAGTGGAGTCCAGAGAGAGTAATGTGTACGCAGATTTTACTGCTATCTTAAGAAATAGAGACTATAAATTATTTTATTAAAATTAAATTTAAAATTTATTATTTTTAAATACATAAAAGTATTATTTTTTGGGATTGGTTAATTTATTTATTTTAAATTGGGACATATGGAGTATTACTTTGTGTTGAGCGACAAAAAGAAAATCAAGTTGATAAAAAGGGGTGGAGATAAAGATATGAAGAAAGGACATCAAATCAGAAGACCTCGTGATGCAATTTGGAATCACAGTTAAAGTTATACTTGTAGCATAAAACTAAAATGCAACTAGTATTTTAAAAGCCGTGAGTGTGAGGCGGGACCGTTTATCTAACATGGGACGAGACATAAGCACTGAGGTACGAGGCATAAGTCCCATGTATATTTAATTTTAATATTTTATAAATTAATAAAATAAGCATATCAACAAAAAATGCATTAAAATTATAAAAGTTTATATATATATATAATAACATGTGCACGAATCATACAAAAATAAATTTAGTTGAAAAAGTAAAAGACGTAAAACTACACTACACATATAATATTACTATGATAGAACCTACATAAAAAAAAAAATGATAGAACATACATAGAGTGGTAAAAATAATATTCTAGTTCCTAATAATTCAAAAAATATACTAAAAATAAAATATTATTTTAAAAAAATCTAAAACTAGATTACAAGTCACAAATACTTATCGTAAAAATTAGAGTCCGCAAAATAATAAGTTATAGAAAATCAAAAACTAACTTGAAAAGAATAAATAAAAGATTGCAAAAACAAAATGAAGCATAAAGAAGGAAAATGCAAGCACAGAAGAGGTGTATTTATTACTAAGTCAACGACAAAAAGAAAAGATTATGAAATTAGGACAAATAATAAGAAACTTTTGACTTTTTAGATTTTTAGTTTGAGAATTTACTATGAGTTAACTTTTGCATATTAAGTTTTAAAAATAGAATTTATTAATCATTTTTGGCTCAAACTGGAAAGAGTTCTCGGGGCTTATCCAAATGAACACCCAGAACGATGTGACTGTTGGGATATATACTATTAACCATGAGTTTGGTTTAGATATAGTATTTATTATGAAATAATTGTTTATTCAGTTTTAATAAAGTTTTAAATAGATCATATAATAGTCTGTGTCCTTTGCTTATATAGTAGATGATTTAGTGTATAGAGTTTAGCTTATACACGGAAGATTAAATCATCGGTTCTTATAAGTATAAAGTTTGAGTTCACAATCTAATGATGGAATTGGACAAACCATCAGGAATGATTGTAGCACAAGATTAAATATAATTAATCTTGATTATGGGAATGGTTTAATTCCAACTTCTTGTGCTAGTACATTTTGTATGTATTGAACGGACCAGGTAGAGATAAGTATTTTATACTGACTTAATAAAATAAACTCTCTAGCCATTAAATGTACTTATACTCTTAATCTTGATATAATTATTATTAGCTGTGTATATTATTATTGTTTTGATTTATTAAAAGGCGAGATTCTTTCGTGGGTCAATATGCCTGGTAAATTGGATAATAATAATATACATTGGCGAAGTAATAGTTAGTTGATGGAATCCATGTCTCAGTTTAGAGATTGATGATATACCTTTATGAAAGCTTATAAGTTTGCATGTGTAAACCCGGCCGGTGGATTTTGTATCCGACACATGAAATAAGTTAAGCGAAAGTCTAAAGGAAATAATCAATAAATTAAATCGTCAGTAATTTAATTTACTTGATTAGTATCTGAATCTTAATATGGGGAGTTAAATAAGATTTAATGGATGAATTTCGAAATTGGATAAGGAGTGCAATTACGGATTTTTAGTGGAATAATTCGTAATTAATTATGGTAGATATTAATTTCGAAAATTAGAAATTAATTCCATAATTGAAGCCTTGTTAATTAAATTTTGTGGTCCCTACTGTGCCTAAATAATAGGAAATAAAGGAATCATTTTTCTGGTGGAAAAGAAAACCCAACAGGTTTTGGAAAATGGGTCTTAACCCTTAAAACTTGTGCTAAAAATACATAAGGTTTTCCACCTAGAGGGAGGAGTAGATGGTGGCTGAAATTTTCAGTCAAGTTTTCCTAGAAATTTCGCCCACACGAAATTGCTATTTTCGGGTATTATTTGGGTAACACAGTAGAAGACCGTGGAACGTTCGAGGATCACGATTGTGCTGGTGATGGAGATTCCATTGAGAAGTTATGGAACTGAAGGCTCACGTGGTAGAAGAGATATGTTCACGCTTCAAGAGGTAACCCGTGAAATCCCGTTTATGCTAGTTGTCTAAATTACATGTGATTTTTGATACTGGGATTGCTTCCGCTGCATAGAATAATCCATCAGTGACTTATGCCTAGGCGAATGCCTGGAAGGTTCGGGCTCATATCCCATGATTCTTAAGCCCCGTCAGTATACCTCGGTGTTTTTTTTTGTTTGTCTCGCTTTGAGGCTCGCCAAGAAATAACCTTTTAAAACACTGATATTATCTAAAATATGAAAGGTTAAAGCACGATATTTGGTGATAAAAGATATATACAGTTGATTTCTCACTAGGTGTTCGGTACACATATTGCGGTCCGAGTAAATTCGAATTTGCACCCCAAAAAGACCACAAGTGGGTAAACCTCTCCAACAAAGGTGACTTTATACCAGAATTTGAACCAATGACCTTTAATTAAGGATAAAAAAGTACTTATCATTCTACCACAACCTTAATTGGTGTATATCATTTCTCTACCCATGAACAAATTAATATTCTTCCATTTCTTGCACCCCATTATGTAATTGAGGAGACTGTAAGGCGTTCCATTCGCTTGCATGTACGTATTAATTTCTTGGCTTTTAACACGCAAATATGGATTTATTCTAACCTCGTAGAAGTGAATTAATTTAAAAATAGTTCTAATTTTTTGCCATCTTCCCACCAAGTTGTAATACAAATTAGTTAACACTCCAAAAAGGAGAAGAGAAAGATGATTGGAGATGATGAAAATTATTATCGAAGAATGCACACATCCCAGTGAGATGCATGGTAAAAATTTATTTGTACCGAATATTTAATCAAACTAGTAAAAGTATGACATGTATGCATATATATATATTCTTCACTTAATCATGGTTAATTGATGGATCATCTGTCAAATAGTTAGACGCGATAGTAAACATGAACCGGAAAAGAAGATGTTAAGACCAAACTAATATCACCACCAAGAGCGTAGGGTTAAACAGCCATTCATGAATAATAGCTTTAAAATGCTAAAGGAATATAATGAGGGCTAGATTTGAACTATTTTTCGTATCCCTTGTAACAGAACATTTTCTGTAATATAAAGACATGATAAAACTAAAGCTCAGAATTATAATATTGCCAAGTAAAATTAGGTTTCAGTATGTACGAAGTGACAAGGGGAACTCACCCAGTATAAATGGCATAGTTTTGATTCCTCCAAGTTGCTTCTTTTTGCTGATTATTGTCTCCTCCTTCTCCATCTCTTCCTCTTTGTAATTTTCAACTACATTCTTCTCTACTTCCATGCTCTTGTAATCCATTTTTCCCTTTCTGGCTAAAAGATATGTAAGCAAGAAAGGGCTTCTTGCTAGAAGCCACTAGTGATTTGAAGTTTAGTTTGAGAAAGAAGAAGCAAAGCGCAATGCTAAGATGAATGAGCCAAACAAGATTGTGGGGACTATTTATACAAAATGGCTGCATGTGAAGTGTGTCTGATTTTATTGTTTGGTTGCCCCATTATTAATTTTTTTTTCTAATTATTTTAAAACTTTTTGGAATGTCTTCTCATTCTAGATATGAGTCGCTTGTTAGAACCGTGTAATGTTTTCGCTGGCTTCTCTTGAAATTATGTCGTGTTCTAACGAAGATGTGAATCTTGGTAAGTAATTTGAATAGTAGCTGGATGGTAGTACTAGACTATCGTTCCTTATTTCTATCTTAGGAAGGGAGGCTCAGGCAGTGTTTCAAAATGGGTACTTACTACTGTTTCTCAGAAATTAAAAAAAAAACAAATATGTCGAAGCAAAATTGTGGGCATTTTTGGATTTTTTTATTTAAGAATCCGGAAAATCATTTTTATAGTGATAGCTGCATATATGTGATAACCCAACCTCTTGTTTTGGTAAAAATAGTAAGGGCTAAGTTTTCGGACTGGTAATTGAAAAACAACCAGTATTTGTAAAGTTATTAAAAAAATAGCCAATGTTTTGCTAAAAGACAAAGATCCAGCATAATATGCTGGATTATGGACCTCCTGCGTATAAACTTCCAGCATATTATGTTGGAGCTTCACACACGAAATGTTCCAGCAAAATATGCGGGATTATGGAGCTCATGCATATAAATTTCCAACATATTATGATGGAACTCTAGCACATTATAAAATTCGAGCATATTATGTTGGAAGCTCAAATGTAAAAAATTCGAACCCCAACATATTATGCTGGAATATTTTTATTTTTAAGAGTGTTCTTGTTCAGATTTTATCTTTACATAAAAGGTGACTAAGTTTCGATTACTTTTAAAACTGTGGCTATTTTTTAATTACCAGTTGTAAGTATGACTATTTTTGATTCCCCCTTGTTTTGAGTATGGTTCCTCCATTTCATATTTTAAGACTTCGTACTTCATATGGAATTTTGTGACTCGTTAGCGGGGTTTGGTTGGGTCCCAAGGGGCTCGGTGAGTTTTACCTCCATGAGTGTTACCTCCATTGAGACAAGTTTGAGAAAAATAGGAAAACTGCATGGTGCTCTTTGGTGCATGCGCTGCACGCCTGAAGCACAAGCAAGTAGTCTGCGCGATGGAAAGGCGACGCAGACCTGTCGCACAAGTGCAAGGGCGAGTGATGGGCGCTCAACGTGCGACCTATAGCGTAAGGCAAAATTCTATCAAGTATAAATAGTGCCATTTCACGATTTTATTTTATTATTCTATACTTTGAGACCTTGGGAGCTTGGCTTTGGGAGATTGAGCAAGGTTTTCATCCACTAGCTTAGCGTAAATGATTTTAATATAAATTTGAGTTTTTATCATGAATCTATATATCTTGAGATTTATTGTTAAAAATGGATATATTTGTGAAATTTTGAGGATTTTTTACACAAAATATAGAATCACTAGACTGATGATTTGAATGCCTAAATATTTGGCTCGTGGAGTTATAGCTAACCCATATTTGACTTAGATTTCATGGTTTAACCATGTAAACTAGGGATTGACTTTTTAGGTTGACATTGACTTTAATCAAGCTTTGTATTATGAAATTGAGTCTCATAGTTTGTATTATGACAAGAGGGGTTGCTCTGATGGTAAGCAACCCCCACTTTCAACCGAGAGGTTGTGAGTTCGAGTCTCCCCAAGAGCAAGGTGGGAAGTTCTTGGAGGGAAAGATGTCGGGTTTCTATTTGGAAACAGTCTCTCTACTCTAGGGTAGGGGTAAGGTCTGCGTACACACTACCCTCCCCAGACCCCACTAAGTGGGATTATACTGGGTTGTTGTAGTCTCATAGTTTTTTTTGTTTGTTTTTGTTTTATGTTTTTTATTACACCATTGAGTATTCTTTCGAGGAATCGTAGGTGGATCCCAGATGCGGCAAACATATTGAGGAATATTAGTCTTGACTTGATCGAAGTAAGTTAAGATTTTGAACTCAAAGAGGGAACTTTTTTGAAACTAAAACTATTTTAAATATATANACCAATATAAATACGAGGGAAAAAATATATGATTGTTGCTCTTTTGTATGCATAACGTTCTATATATGTGATATGATTGATCGTACATATTGACCATGCTATTTGCTATATTTACGCTGTGACCAATTATGCATATTCCCATGCTATTTTGTCACTATCCAAAATTCCTCATGAGGATTCGTGATGACACCTAGTCGTTAAGATTAGGTAAGCCTAACACTTACTGAATCAATAACAGATTTTAACCAATCACTATTAAGCATGAACCAGAAATTTCTATATAATGGCAACAATCCAAAGTTTCTATATACCATTTCAAAATTGGTAGCACAAGTCATAAGCTCTACTGAGTTCACTAGAAAATCTCTAAGTACAACTATTTCAGAATATAAATAAACAGTACAAAGTAAACTACAGTAGGTGAATCCGAGGACTGCAAACGCGACAACAAGTATACCCTGAAGTCTCCACAACAATACTCGATCAGCTATCTAATGGTCGACACACCCCGAGGTACCGTGATCTGCACAAAAATATGCAGCAAGCGTAGCAGGAGTACACCACAGCGTACCCAGTAGGTATCAAGACTAACATCGGTAAAATAGTGACGAGGAACAATCAAGACACCTTCTAGATATAATAACATGTACAAGTATGAATAAACTAACAGGGAACAATATAAAGTTAAGCATGGTAAGAATAATGTCACAATACTTGCAATAAGAACTAGAAACAACCATTAACAAGAAGGAGCAAATAGGTAATAACGTCGTGAAGTAAGCAAAATATAGTTAAAGTCCGGTGAAACCAAGTAAGGAAAAAAAGTAATAACCCAATAAAACAACCGCTTTCACACAAGGTTTATACAAGAATTTCTCCGAGGTACCACACCTCATAATCACAAATCACGAGTCCCAAATCATGAGCCCTAATCACATGGCATCTTGTGCCCGCATTACAAATCACAACTGCACGTACAACTCATGTGCTGCACAAACGACGCACGTGCCAATACCATTAATGCCTCATATATGCATGGACAACTCACCACACAAAAAACTCACGTGCTAGCAGTAACAATATCTCATATCCGCGCAGACAACTCACGTGCTAACGGTGCAACTCACGCACAGAAGGCAAGTATACAAGAATATATTGTAAATGATCAATGGATAGCAAGGTTCATCTTCTTGGATAGATAAGAGTGACTAATTACGGTGTATGCTTGTGCAAATGTTCTATCACAACTCGAGTCGACAAGTAAGATCAGAGACAACGAAAGGCATATAAGAAGCAACACAATAAAATCGTAATATGCATAACGCACACAAGGTAGGCACACCACTACACAATATCATCAATAAGAATGCCCCCAGGCCATCATGAATCATCTCCGACACAGTTCCCCTTGTCTCGCCGTGTGCACAACAATGAGATAATTGTCCATGTTGTCTCGCCACACGCACATAATAATATTTCTACCTTGTCTCGCCATATGTGCAAACCCACATATATAGCCTGCCTTGTCACGCAACATGTGCAATATCAATAATAACAATAGCATGGACAACTCACGTGAGAACACCCCGACAATCCTCTCAACAATACCACATGTTCCAAAAATATAACAACATAACATAATAACCCGCACCATATGTGCCCATAAACCACAACATTTCAACAACAACAGTTCCACTACCACAACCACATATATCCCACGACTCAACAATACCGAGTACAACAAGATCAATAGTAACACGGGAGTACGACAAGTAAATCAACACAAGAATTATAAAACATAACGAAATAGAAGAAAGAGCTCACAATGAAAGACATAACAAGTAATAATGACTTCAACTAAGAATAACTCAACAATGAGAGAGATAATATGTAACAACGATATCAAATAAGAATAACTCAACTATAAGAGAGATAACATGTAACAACGATTCAAATAAGGATAAATCACAATGGAAGAGTTAACATGTAACAATGACATCAAATAAGGATAGATTAACAACAGAAGAGATAACATGTAACAATGACTTCAAATAAGGATAAATTAACAATGGAAGAGATACCATGTAATAATAACTTCAAATAAGGATAGCTCAACTATGCAAGGGATAACATGACAATAAAGAGGCAACCACTTCAATTAAAGCATATAAGAGTATATTTGGAAATAAAGGATAGAAAATGAACCAATCAAGATAGAACATGAACCAATCAACTTCAAATAAAGCATGTAAAGGTAAATTTAGCAATGGAGGATATAACATGATAAGAAAACTTTATTTTAATGTACATAAGAACCTAAGAGTTTAAACTGGTCAAATTTTCACATATAAATCGTGTACACACTCGTCACCTCGTGTATACATTTTTAATGTAGTTCAAATAATACAACAAACCAATCCCTATGGGGTAATTCCCCCACACAAAGTTAGGCAAGATACTTACCTCAAAAGCCTTCAATCAATACTCTAAAATAGCTTCCCTTTACAACTCACCTCCACTCGGCTCAAATCTAACCAAAATCGACTCAATAACATCAAATAATGTAAGAGAATTCAATTCCAATAATTAAAGTTATGATCTTTGCACAATTTTTTAAAAGTCAATAAAAGTCAACCCTGGGCTCGCCCGGTCGAAACCTGGGTCCAAGAGCAAATTCCAACTAACCATAATCCCATGAGTCCATATATTTGTTTTGTTTTAAAATTCAAGTTCAAATCGACTCTCAAAACTCAAATTCTCATTTTTTAAAACATAGACAAAGTTTCTCAAAATTTCCCTTTGATTTTCAAAATTTTGATGTTAATTTCATATATAATCATGTAAAATAGTTGGGAATTAAACAAAATCACTTACCCCAAGATCGTAGATTAAAATTCCTCTTCGCAGGTGTCGCAAATGTGAAGAAAGATCGCAATGCAACAATCATCACACCCCTGCTATAGTCAAAAA